CCCTTATCACATCCTTGGTGGGAGTTTCGATAGGGCAAAGTTATAATTGCTACAGCAACCGATTGACTTATTTTTCGTTTGTAAGTACAGTTTATAGACTACTAGTAAATCAGATATATGAGATGTGTTTAGCCTATTTTGTTTAAGGTGATGAACGATCGGTAGTTGAATTTTCCATTCACAACCTTAACCAAAATAGTGTGAATATATCTAATATGCTCGATTTAATGGTAATCTCGAAAGTGCGCTTACAAATGAAAAATAAGTAATGTAGTCGGTTGCTATAGCAAATATAACCTTTCATTAGTGTCAATACCATCACAGAATGTGAAATGGGAAAACATATGGCCTTCTTTAAAATTTACATCTTCCCTGTAAACCAAGGGTACCTGTGACAATGCGGCGTAGTGGCTAACGTGTAAAGATTATGGGCCGCACTGTCATGGTTCGAGTTCCGCTGGGGGTGCTGATAAGACAGGCGAGGTCTAAACCGCAATCAACTCCGGATGCTAATATCTTTTGGTAAACAAGGTTATGTGAAAATCAATGGAAAGATCATTGTGGACAAATAAAGCTTCCAGTGCCTCAGAATCTTAAACGAAATAGGGTGAACAAATCTCACTGCTTTATTCATTCAATTTTGGTCTTAAGAAGAAATTATTTTTGATTAATTGGGGCATCTCAAAATGTCAGCATGCACTATCATTAATTCTTCATACACATTGCCAACTAATATTGCTGTGCCTAGCCTTGCAATTGAATGAAGGTAACTGATGTATGATGAATTATTTGTTCTTACGTGCTAATTGATTGGACCTAAGTGCTCCTATCAATGTTAACGAACCCTACGGCGTTACGATATCTTGAAATATTAAAGGACATTCGGTAAGCAGGCATCTTCTTTCACGCCGGGGCCATAGAGTAAGTATGGGAAGGTGCGATCGTTTGAGCTGATATCCCGGGTCCGAAGTGGGCTAAATGTGGATAGGAGTGGATACCAAACCGACTTATCTTTGGGTAGCTGTCCCATGTGAACTTAACAAGGACAGCACTAATTTAACCATGATTTCGCAACTCTTCCACCTCTATCTAGCCTAAAATGTTTTCTAAAACGAAGCCGGTGTTATATGCCAGAATAAACAGTGTTGGCTTTGCAAAATTAACTACGAGATGCTGAGAAAGGTGGGCCACGAAAATAGACGATTAGCATAAGCAATGATTAGAGCGACACCAATGTCCATCACATAAACCAATGGATTTTTCTTACTATACATGGTGAAGCAATATTTCGTGTCGAAAACCTACTTGAAGCGAGAGCATTCCCTTTTTAAGGATATTAACGACGTTCAGTCAGTATTTTTCTCCGTAATTCATAATGAATGATTCCAACAACCCATCTGTTATTCCATGAGGAAATATAAAGGCATAGAGAATAGAGTACAGTTCAATTCTGAATTAGGAAGGCAAACGGGCATTGATTACTA